GGATGTTTCAAAAAGAAATTTAAAATTAAAGTATTGCTTCAACTTCTTCCTACTTTAAAGGTAGTTAACTCCCGTATATCTACACTATATACTTCAGCAAAATGCATCCGTTGTCACTCTCACACTAAAGACTTTGAGCATTTGTGGCTCTATCCTTGTAATCAACCCAACATTAATGAGTTAATCAACTCACACAAGACCAAATTTATCACTCAACTCTTAGAGTTAAATACTCTTAAAGATGACTATATAGTTCAAAAAATAATCTCAGATCCTATTTGGAATACATCACACATTTCTTCAGAATTTAGTTTCTTAGACGTAATTAAAGGGATTATCCCATTATCTTTGTCAAACAAAGTAACAGCCTGTTTTTCGGCTAAAGATTTATCACATAGCTTCTTATCCTTTTTCTATCATGAAGTTTCCACATCTTGTTATGAAATATAGTTACAAAGGAATGTTGCACTTAATGATTGGTAAATTGCAAATAACTTTGAAGATGATTATACCACTTCTTGGGTCTCCTCAGGTTTCCCACATTCCTCTTCCACTCTTCCACTTACTCATCTTACATCTTTCATAGCAGCTACCGCCTATGGTTCTCACTGGTCAAAATTTTGAAATGGCAGTAATCACGCCTTCCCTTCCAGACGTTTGATAACTGTATAATAGTTTAGTTTAGTTAGGTCCTCTTTTCTTTTCTTTTCTGTTTATAGTTTAGTTCGGTAAAGTGCAAGGTTGATATTGATAAAGTAGTTTAGTTTTAAATTAATTTATAGATATTTTTGTATTTTCTGTTTTATTATATGTACCTAGTACTTTATAAATTCAATAAAGATCATGCAAAACTGCCGCACTTCAAAAAAAAAAAAAAAAAAAAAATTTCCAAAATGTAAGAATTAAAATGAATCAAAAATTATGCTTCTAACATTTATAGTTAATAAGTTATAAACATTTAAAGCTAAAAATAAATTGTTATGTTTCTTTTGTTAGCTATTGTTAGAGTTCTGGACGAGTTGAGTTAACTCACAAGTTGGATAAGCTGAGTCGAGTTTAAATCAAGTCAAGTTTATGTTTTTTGACTCGATGATTTGTGAGTTAAGTCAAATTCAAGTCGAGTTAAATATTTAACTCAACTCAATTTAAACTCAACTTGATTTGAGTTAACTCAAGTTGACTTGAATGATATTTTTTTATCGTTCAAGTTAAATGATTTGTCATTGTTCAACTTGAATGATTTTTTATCGTTCAAGAAGAACAATGATAAATCATTTAACTTGAACAATTTTTTTTATCGTTCAAGAAGAATGATGACAAATTGTTCAACTTGAATGATGACAAATCATTCAACTTGAACGATATTTTTTTTCATTCAAGAAGAATGATAACAAATAGTTCGACTTGAATGATTTTTTTATCGTTCAAGAAGAATAATAACAAATTGTTTGACTTAAACAATATTTTTTTATCATTCAAGAAGAATGATGATGAATCGTTCGACTTGAACGATATTTTTTTATCGTTCAAGAAGAATAATGACGAATCATTCAACTTGAACGATTTTTTTTATCATTCAAAAAGAATGATAACGAATCATTCAACTTGAATGATTTTTTTTATCGTTCAAGAAAAATGATGATGAATTATTCAACTTGAATAATAACTTGAATTGTTCGACTTGAACAATGACCTGAATCGTTCGCTCTTTTTTCCCCCATCTGATCTTTTCATTTTTTTTTATTATTTTTTTTCAAAGTCGAATCGAGTTAAAATTGAGTCGAGTCAAATTGAGTTGAGTTTAAAATTTATATAACTCAAATCAAATTAAATTAAAAGATTTTATAAAATAAATTTGACTCGATTTGACTCAAAAAAGGAGAGTCAAATAGAGTTGATCTTTAAACTCGACTCGACTTGACTCATTCAAAACTCTAGCTATTGTAATTTTTCATCCTATTATTAACTAAATATATTTAAATTTTTTTTTAATATAACTATTATTATCTTATATATCCTCCATCAGCTTTAAGAATATCTTTAATTCTTTGTAATATCGTATCAATTAGTTTTAAATAAGAGATAATATTAATTTCATTTCATACTAACTATATCTTATTCCATAGATTATCCTTATTAGTAATATTACCAGGAAGTTATTACAAGCAATGATTTATTTCATTTCACAAATGCTTAATAGGATTTAAGTCTAGTAATAGTGCTAGTCAATTCAAAATTTTAACATTATTGTTATCAAACCATTTGTATGTTTTATTTGCTATATATTTTGAACCATTATTTTATTGAAAGATAATATCATCTATACTTAAATTGTATTCATTAAGAGTTCCTATAAACTTATCATTTAAAATCTCATGATACAGCTCTTCATTCATTCATCTATCAATTTTACAATATAATTCAATACCAAATATACCTATATAATCCTATACTATAACAGAACTTTACAAATTTTACAGTTGGCTTAATATGTTTAGAGTTCTGAATGAGTTAAGTTAATTCACGAGTCAAGTGAGTCAAGTTGAATTCAAATTAAGTCAAATTTATATTTTTTTGACTTAATGATTTGCGAATCATGCTAAATTCAAATTGAGTTAAATATTTAACTCAACTTGATTTAAACTCAACTCAAACTCAACTTGACTTAAGTTGACTTAAAATAGTATTATTAATAAATTAATATTTTAAAACTATAAATTATACATTATAATAATTGAAATACTTTATAATAGTTGAAATGTAATAATAGTTAATAATTGAAATTTATTTTATTATTTTAAATTATAAATTTCAAATTTCATTAAAAATGCATATAGTTAATTATTTTTTTTATTGATAAGATAATTAAATATTAAATCAGTATAGTTAAACCTTTATTTTAATAATTTTTTTATTGATAAAATATATAAAAAAAATAAAAATTTTTATAAAATTAATTAAAAAATCTAATTCTTTATAATACCTGCTTTTTTTTCATTGCTTTAACAATTTTTTCAGTTAAAGTAATTGCACTAATATATCGAATGCTACCTTTACTTAAATTAAGCTTAACTGTATTATATATAGCTTACGTTAGAGTTTATATCTGTTATCTGTTAAAAATGGATATCCAACAGATATTCAAATATCTGGATTAAACGAATACAAAATTTTGGATATTTGGATAATCCAACAGATATCTGATAATACTCAGATATTCGCATTATCCAGATGATATTCAGATATATCTGAATATAGATCGTATATCAACCGATTAATATGACACAATTTCACGATGTTTGTTCAACACACGTTAACGTTCTAATTAAAACAAAAAAATAAAACAAATTTACTTGTAAATATTTAAAATTAAATAAAAAATTTTGAAATTTATAATTCCGTTTGTATTTGACTATTAAAAGGATCTATCTTTGGAATTTACTTGATAATTTTTTTTTTGTTTTTGTTGTATGATTTTTTTATTATTTTCTCATATTTATTATGAGTGACCACATACTACAAGAGTTACAAACAAATAAAAAAAATAAAAAGAGTTCTAAAACAAAAATTACAGAAAGAACAAGAAAAAAAACAAAAAAAAAGCAAATAAAACAAGAAACATAGAAATAGAAACAGAACGCATATCGCAAGATCTACCACAGAATTCATTATAAGATTCAACTTCAGGTAATTCAAACTTGGTAAACAATACTGAGTGAAGTATTTTAGAGGAAAAAGATGCAAATAATCCACAAGTTCTTGTTGATAATGTAAAACAAGAAAGTAGACTGGCGAATCTTTCTAATGATACTAATAATAAACAAAGTTTTATTTGGAATTATCTGGAAAAGTTACCATCTACAGATAAGTATAAGAAACGTGTCAAGTGTCTTGTCAAAATTTTTGGTCAACCTTGCGGACATATAATGGGATCTGATGATAGTACTGAAAATTTTATTTTTCATTTAGCAAAGCATCATATTATACGCGATAGTGATCTATCACAGAATAATGAAAATGTTGATGAAATTTAAAATATTTCTGCCAAAAAAAATCAATTAGATAGAAAGTTTGTTGGAATGATTATAAAAGATGATCAACCAATAAGCATTAGAAATGATGAAGAGTTTCGCAAATTTATGAAAGAATTAGATCTACTTTATGAATTACCAAGTGATAAAAAAGTGAGAGAACTGCTAGTTAAGAGTTACAATTTTTGTAAAAAAGAAATTATTCATCTATTTGAACAAAGTATTATATCATACTCTTTAACCTTAAACCTTAGACATCAAAGAGCAGAGCTGGTTACTTAGATGTGACTTGTTCATTTGTAAATACTCAATTTAAACTTTGTGAAGCTACTTTGGCAATTGAATATTTAAAATATTCACATACAAGTGAAAATATTATTGATTGCTTTGATCAAATAATTAGAAAATGGAATTTAGAAGGAAAAATCTTTACAATAACCACTGATAACAGAAGCAACATGATTAAAGCTGATAAGCTACTTAAAATTTCTAATAATATTACACGTTTACCATATGCAGCTCATACACTTCAATTAGTAATAGGAAAAGGGCTTATTCTAGTAGAGAGATTAGTTGCACAAGTAATATGTTTAATTAGTTTCTTTACTATACCAAAACAAACTGAACGATTAATTAAAATTCAAAAAAATATGAGACATAATCAGGAAGAGGTAAATTAATAATTTAATAAAAATCTATAATTGTAATTAATT